ACTCACTGTTTTTATCTAACTTGTTTCTAACTTTTTCTCCATTTGTTCCATTCTTTTCTCTACTTCCTTCATTGTGTGTTCATTTCTTTCCAATGCTTGTTGAATTGACTCTACCTTTTCATCAAATTTAGATATATCTGATCTCATTTCTGTTTTTAACTTTCCCAGTTCTTCCTTCAGTTCATTAATATCCGCTCTTGTTTCTGAGTGATTCTTTACCATCATTTCTTGAAGTTTGGCCATTGATTCTTTTTTTTTAAAAAAAAAACAAGTTTTATTGATTTTACAAACAAACAAACAAAACAAAACATCATTAAACATTAAAAACATAAAACCTCTTTCCATTGTAAATCTTTACAAGGCAGGTAACACATTGTTTTATATCACATACTTATAGTTTATCCCATTTCCATATAAACACATAAATTCCCTTTACCAAATTCCACATTATTTCTCTTTAGTCATTATTCAATCATATTTCCTTTCTAATTTATCTACTATTCAATCATCACATTTATATTTCCCTCTGGCTTGTGTGTAACTGTTCTCATCTAGTCTTCCTCCGAGATTTTATTATTTAATTCTTAATTGAACACACACACATAAGACATAAACATAAAAACATAAACTTTCTTTTAGAAAGTCACTTGGCCCCAGATTACCTCTTTTTGTATGGACTTCAATTAAGTTCATGCTCTTCTTATATACCATTACCTATCTTGTTTACCATTCTATATCTATTATATAACTCCTCTCCACTTTTCCCTCGTCTTAATTCTGTTTTATATATTTAATCTTGCTTTAAAAAAAATATTTTTATATCTTTTGTCCATTTCTCCATTTACATCTGTCTCATTTCCAATATAAAAAAAAATAGTTTCCCCTGGAATCACTAGTCAGAGTATGATGCCTTTCTATCATTCCCCTAAATTAAAATTTAAAATAACACCTAAATCCCAATCAGATTCTGCTTAGTACATTCTACTATTTCAGAAACCAATACTACAATAATAAATCCATAACAGTCAACACATTAATCCATTAAACTCTATATTTAAACTAATATTTTAGACATTCCTTTTAGTATTTTATTAAAACTTAAGATCATTCATTATTAAACATTTTAAAGTTATACCTTAATATTTTAATCTTTTATTAAATCTTAAAAAGTTCTGATTATCTACTTATAATACGAATACCACTATTACAATACTTATATGTACTTTGCAGAATCCCCTTTTTTTAAAGAAACCCCCCCCCCATACATTACCCATTATCCCTAAAAAAAAATTTCTTTTCTCCATCTTGTTTTGTACCTTTGTAACTTTTTTCCCCCTTTTCCCTTTCCTTCTTAGCCCGCCTAAACTTTTTACCCCCTCCTCTCCAGACCTCTGCCTTCTTGGTTTCCCCTTTCTGTTGCATTCCTCTTTCCTTTTGCTTTCTAGTATTCTGTTGTTTTTGCATCTTCTTTTTCTCTTTCATAAATATTTTTTTATTTCTTAAGTCCTTCCTTTTCGCTCCTCTCTTTCTCCTTTCTTTCTTAGTCACACCATTTAGTTCGTTAAAAATGGCTTCTTCTTCCTCGGCTTCTTCCAGCTGTTGTTTGATTTGCTGACACATGACAAGCGCCATATCTAGAAAACAAAGGGCTTCTCCCATAACATCTTTGCCTTCTTTCCTTATTTTTAAATATTGTTTTTTTAGTTCATCAAGAGATAGAGCCGTTTTAAACTGTTTCTTCTTCTTTTTCTGTATCCTCTTCTTATTATTAAGCCAATCAATTATTTCCAAGCTTAAAACAGTTCCCAAAAGTCCCAAAATCCCGAAGTCATCAAACAGTCCAGGAAGAGTACAAACTTCTTCCTTTTACAATTTCTCTTCCAGGGGTGAAATCGAATTAGGGAAAAAAAACGCCCAGTCTATGCTTTAAATCTTTTTTACAATTAACATCTATTCTCTTTATCTTCAAGGCATCTCCTCCAGCAAAGTCTTAAAATAAAGTTTTTTTTTTCCAGGCCTCTCCCTTCCCACTTATAACAAAGGAGTTTAGGTTTTACCTTCTATTAAAAAGCAGGTTTTCCTTGTCCATTTGTTAATTCCATAAGGGAGGGAGAGTAACTTTCCCTTTTCAACTCTTTCTTTCGCCGCTGAAAACATCAATTGGGAACATTGTAGCGTCCAGAAAAGAGCCAATACTTTCCCAGGTATTAAATATGTCCTTAAGGTCCCAGTTCGACCAAGAAAAAACTTTCGTTTTAAAACTCCTTCTTCTTCCTCCTGCGCATTCTTTATCCAGTTGCCGGCTTCTTTGTGGCAGCCATTAAGACCGCCGCTCCACCGTCTTGAGAGAAGGGGGTTATTGCCGGCTGGGGAGGGGGTCTGCGATACCTCTCAACCCCTGTCCGGGTCCCCCCTATCTTCTGCTGCCCCAACAGGGCAGTCTTAGCCTCCAGATCTGTCAGGATCGGAGGCACCAAGGCGGCTAGCACAGCAGGGATCACGGAGAAACGCGAATCCCTGCTGTCACCGAAGCCGACAAACCGGAAGTCGGCCATTGATTCTTGTAGTACAAGTAACGAGGTTTGAATGTTAACATTTGAAGTGGTGTTTTGTTCCTCCGCCATTAGTGTTTCTTCTATTGTTTTTTGTATCCTTGGTGAAGCTGTTGTTGTTGAGGGTATTGGAATTGATGTGGTCTTCTTTCCTGTCTTGCTCATTGTGGTAGTTATAGTAGACATTTCTTCTAATATCTCTCTCTGATTATTAAGAATGTTATAAACATTATCCCAAATTGGCATTAAACAATTTAAAATTATTTTTCTTAAGGTTTAACTGTTAATGAGATATGGTACTTGTTAAGAGCTTTTATAATGTTATGTTCTTATTTAAAGTCTCAGTAATCCCAATTCTATTCTATATTTGCAAGATAAATATCTAGGTGAAAAATCAACATATCTAATTGTATAGATATCAATATAAAACTCTTTTTAGATATATAAATACATATGCATCAATATAAGTATAATTTACAGTTTAAGTTGTGAATATAAGTATTATGATAAACGTCAGAATATCTACATTCTATATTAATATAAATACAAAATATAAAGAGAAGAGTTTAATTAAGCTATAAAATATAAATATATAACTGTAAGTATAAATTACCTAGAACTTTCAATCATTAAATATACAGGTTTAATTATTTATCTTGATTAACCATTTATAAAATAAATTAAGTAATAGTAGTTCCTAATTGATTACACTAAACTCTGCTTAAATTAATTATAGTTTAAGTCTAAATCTAGAGTATATATATTATAATATATCTGAATTTAAATACCAATTAGTTTTATACTTAATAATTAATAATTTCCAGCAAGTGTTCCGGTTATTGTATCCAATAGAAGGGAATTAAGCTCCAACTTAATTCCACTAAACTCTGCTTAAGCTAATTATAATTTAAATCTGAATCTAAAGTATAAATGTTGTATTATATCTGAGTTTAAGTACCAATTGATTGTATAATTAATAATATCCAGGAAGCATTCCAGTTATTGTATCCAGTAGAAGGGAAAGAAAAAGAGAAAATAATCACCCAATGTTCAATTAGCAGATTCACCAGTTCAGAAATTTTAAGGTACAAAAGGAGTAGAAATTATCAATTTATCCAATTCTTCTTAGTACTTCAGTCTCTCAAAATTTTCTCCCAATTCCATCTTCTATGTTGTACTATGTTGTACTATCGGATTGCTGAGTAATGCTGTTCACTATGGACGTTCTCCACTTCCATTACTTTAGCTGTTTCTCAAAGTCTGTCAATCCTCAGCAAAGAGCAATTTTCACAGCCAAGTAACTTGTGTAAAACACTCACTTTACAGTTTTTCAACAGTTAGAATTTCCAAAGGTTTCCAAAGTTTAAAACTTAGTATTCAGAAGGTATCCTGGATAACTATCTTGATCTATTCTGTTCGTTAAAGTGTCCTGCTCCCCGGCTGTCTATTGTTCCCAGTCACTCTCCGCTTGTTCTCACCTCCGCTTTCTCGCCGCCTTCTTGGGTTACAATAGATCTCTCTTCTCCGATACAGCACGAACCTCCTTTCTTTTTAATCTTCTATAATGCAAATTCTTTGCACTATCCTCTCCTTGTTCTTCACCAGAGGCTGTCATTCGATCTTGCTTCCCCTTTTTGCTGGCTGTTAGGACTTTGGAGCCGCCATCCTGTGTATGCTAGTCTCTGCTGGGCTCAACAGGGTTTCTCTCTGTCATGCTGATGATCGCATATCGCCGGACTGCTCCTCGAGTATCCCCACTCCAACATGCTTCCCTTCAGGCTTCTTGTATCCCTTTGGGATCTTTCCAGCACCAGAAAAGAGGGGTGAAGAACAGAGCTAGATCTTCAGCCCTTCTGGGAGTCCCAACATGACCACTGGAAGTCAAGAAATTTCTCTTAAGGAAACATTCTACAAGCATCTCATTAAATATAATAACATATTAATAAATAATTAAATATAATAATAAATTAAATATAAATATAATAATAAATAATTATATTAAATATAATATAGGTTGGCTGGGAACTAGTCTACACAGCTTAAAGTTTCCCGAGGTTGAGAAACAGTTATAATTTGTGGCACTAACACTTAGCTGAGTTTGGATGACTCAGGAAGCTAAATGGGGTCAGGTATGGTTAGTACTTGAGACAATCACTATGAAGTTCTAGAGCAGCAACCAATGTTGAGAAATCTAAAATTATGCTGAAGAAGACCCAAGCAAACCATTTCTATGTTAGACTAAGAAAATACTTGTATGATGTGAAAATGTCAATTGCTGACCACTGCTCAAAAATAATTCTATAATTTTGTTATCTAATGCGGATAGTATGATATAAAAAAACAAATACAATATATGTGTTTATTTATTACATCTGTGATCTATGTGATGTAATCTGTAAATCATACAGTAAAGCTAAAGGTTGACATAAATGAATTTGCTTTTCATAGGAATTCCTTCCTCTGAAGAACTGATCACAATTTATTCTCGATTCAGGGATACCTGTACTTCTCCATATAATCTTAATTTTTTCCTTGCTCTTTCATATTTTAAATTGGCTTCAATAAGCCAGGTAACGTATATAATCTACACATTATCTTTTAATGTTTAATGGAGCATATAGAATGCATTTTTGTAAATTCTTTTACTCATAACAACATTAGTAATGGCATTCCAGATTTTATATTTTACTTGAAGAGAAACTGTTTATGTAATATTAAACATTATGCTATTGGTGAGACCCTACAAGTGATTATTACTGTGCTTTAAATAGATTTTTAGAACCAACGAAATGTAGTGATGAAGGTGTCAAAATAGGAGATGAGACTGTAGTTTAATTTTCTACTTGATCACATTGCTCTAAAGATATCCGTGAGAGACCTGTCATCTTTTAGCCCAAAATAATTAACAAATTATTGGAAGAAATAAATAAAAAGAGGCTTCAATTTTCTCTGTATAGGGATAGCATACAATATCATTTATTGTTTTTCATAAACAACATAATACTACCGGCACAGTAAATGAAAATTACAGTAACTTTAAATTTAATGAACCCTATGTTGAATAGTTTCACAGTTTCACAGAAATTTAATAGTTTTTTATGCTATATTTTGTAATTTATAGTTACTGTGTATATCGTGTATAAGTATGTACTATTATTATTTCTGACAATCGTGCTGCTCATTTGATGGGTTATATGTTTTTTTAACATATTGATCAAAGATTAAAATAATACAGATCTTGAATAATAATTAAACATTCCTCTGTCATATATTGTTAAAATGCTCAGCTATTTGTTAAATTTCTCATATTGAAATTACTTATTCTTTAGGGCATATATGCCAGATATCTCCTGGGTAATTCCTCTGCAGAAAACAGTTTGGAGTTCAGCAGTGTAGTGAGACCTCTGGCTGAAGTTGGATTACTGGTAGCAAAAAAGTAAGAATTGATTGTTGAAAGAGTTATAAAGATGCAACCATGTCACCTATATCTCAAACAGGTTGCACAAAGTTTTCTTTTCTTGATTGCTATTTGATGCTGCGCTCCCTATCTCTTTAATAAATTTACAAGAGCGGTATGTATCTATGGTAGATATAACAGATTTGAACTGCAGAAATATAGGTAGTATTAACTGGCAGGAGATAGATCAATTTTTCCCTGCGTCTTTCTGAGATGCATGTTTGCCCTTTCTTTAACACTCTTGTAGGACACATTGATATATCAGTGTATTGATTGATTAGATTTTTATTATTTTTGCAAATAATCAAGGGAGCCAACATACCTAATATTTCTTCCTAGTTATATGTTGCTTTCTTCTAGAATAACTTTCAACACTGGCTCACCTCTTTGCAATTCTGGAGAATTATTCCAGCAGTCCATAGAGGGGAAGAAAATCCTTCAGAAAATGAAGGATTTCATGAAAAAGCACATTTTTCCAGCTGAAAAAGTAAGTTGTATCATGAACAGTTACCAAAGTAGGACCAAATCAACATCATCTTGCGCCTTGCAAACTTCCTGGAAGTGCCATTTAATTCACCACAATGCCAAGAGTACTCATGTGATCTATTTTGCAGATATCAATCCTCTAACTAAGGCAGTGACAGAGACCAGTTCTCTGTCTTCATAAGTATATAGGTCAAGTATACAGATAAGAAAACACTTAGGTCCTAACTCTAATTTGAAATACCTTTTTTTAATTCTATGAGATTCAAGGTCTAGCGCAGAACTCCGATCTGGCCCACGGGATGCTTAAATCTGGACCATGGAGCCAGCCTGGAAATATCAAAGGCCCGGAATGCCTCTGCTGGCCAAAAATGGGCTGCAGGGGCCCTGTGAGACCTCCGCACAGCCCATTTTTGGTCTTTCCAGCCTCCAGCAGCAATCTGCCAGCCAAAAACGGGCCACATGGAGGCCTCACAAGGCCCCTGCATAGCCCATTTTCAGCCTCCATGGCTTTCAACAGTACTCTGTTGGCCGAAAGTGGGCTTTATAGAGGCCCCATGAGACCTCTGCACAGACTGTTTTTGGCTGGCAGAGTGCTGCAGGAGGTGTCCATCCTGTCTCCCCTCCCCTGCTCTCCACCCCCCTCACCAGCCCATGGAGGAGACCTACAATGCTGATCCTGCCCTCAAAGAAATCCAGTTTGACACCCCTGGTCTAGCAGGAGATTAATCAATACTTTCAATTACAGACTTCAGATGGGGTGGCATGCTAATGATTATTTGTAAATTATTTTATATATACCCTCTAGGAAATAGTTGAGTATTACGCCAGAAAGAAAAATTCACCAGATATATGGAGAAAACCTGGTGTCATGGAGATACTCAAGGTACATTTCTTTTTATTTCCATAGTATACTGTTAAAAGAAAGATCTTAGTAAAAGTAAAGGTTACCCTCACACATACATGCTACTCATTTCCGGCTCTAGGGAGCAGTGCTCATCTCCGTTACAAAGCTGAAGAGCCAGCGCTATCCAAAGACATCTCCGTGGTCATGTGGCCAGCATGACTAAACGCTGAATGCTGCACCTTCCCATCAAAGTGGTCCCTATTTTTCTACTTGCATTTTTACATGCTTTTGAACTGCTAGGTTGGCAGAAGCTGGGACAAGTATCGGGAGCTCACTCCGTTACACTGTGCTAGGTATTCGAACCGCCGAACTGCTGACCTTTCTGATTAACAAGCTTAGTCACTGAGCCTCCATGTCCCCAAAAGAAAGGTCTTATATGACGCCAATGAGTATCAGTGCAAATATAATTTAAAACTTAATTTATAGTTTTTATTCCAGTGAAAGTTATACCTTACAGAGTGAATGGAATTTATGAGTTTAATCCACAAGAGAGTCATTTTTGGCATAATGGTTTGAGGCACCAGCTAGAAACCAGAAAACCATGAGTTTTAGTCTTGCCTTAGAAAAAAAACCAGTTGGGTGACCTTGGGCCAGTCCCAGTGCCCTAGGAAGGAGGCAATAGCAAGCCACTTTAAAAATCTTGCCAAGAAAAACTGCAGGGATTGCCAGAAGTCAACATTGACTTGAAGGTAGAGTTTATCTCTTATATGTATACAATACAGTTCAAATAAAATGATAAATTTGTTTTAAAATACTTTAATTCCAGTAATTCCAGTATAAACAAACTAAAACTATGTTTCACTCTCCTTTACTCTTATATTTGAGGCTGACATGGTACTAAAACATCCTGATCTGGGTTCTTTGTCACATTAAGCCATAAGATAGTTCAATTTAAACATAGTTAATTATGTGCAGACAGTAAATAAGACATTGTAAATTTTAAACTATGGTTTATATTAGCACATTGTGTTAATATTGCAAAGGCCTTCCTAGCATATTTAGAATGAGATTGTCATTCCTGTCATTCAATCAGATAGGACCGCTTTTTTTGTTGTATGAAATTAGTGACATTATCCTTAAATATATATGTAGAAACATCCAAGCAAATTGTGATTTTATTAAATTATAGTTCCCCTTGTCTCATTTGAAAATGATCTAAGATAGCTAATTATATGAATTTACATTATACCATAGTTTAATATGTAGTAAGAATTATTCCAAAACATTATTCTTTCAAAAAATGCAACAGCTTTTTTTTTCAGGAAAGCTTAGAAATCATAGACATTGAAAATTTAATAAGCCCATGAAGCAGAGGTGGTATTCAGCAGGTTCTGGAGAACCAGTAGTGGAAAATTTGAGTAGTTCAGAGAACCAGCAAATGCCACTTCTAACTGGAGATTTTACAGTATCTTTCCCCTGCCACACCCACCAAGCCATGCCCACAGAACTGGTAGTAAAAAAATTTGAATTCCACCACTGCTATGAAGAATAGAGATTTATACAAAGGTATCTGGATAAGATTAATATTATATCACATTTTATTTTATTTATATTTCATCTTTTATATTTCAAATTTCAGTTACAATTTGAAAGTGACAATAATTTTTTATATAAAATGCATATGCATAAATTAAGATTTAGAAAAAAATAAATTTAAAATTGAGTCAGTAAAAGCAGAAATATAAGGAATCCATTTCAAAATTTTGGTTTGCCTTATTTTGCCATTTTTATTTGTTCATGCTAAAAAGCCTGCATGAAAAAAATTTTTTTTTATTCATTTCTCATAGTATATCTTAAATACATTTTAATGTAGGAACTGCAAAATCTTGAAAATTGTGAAAAATGAGGGGGTGGAATTCATGAACTTGTATTTATCCTGTGTAAATTAGAAAAGTGTAGGTGAATACTGAGAAAGTGAATTTTTTTCTTATTTGTTTACCAATAAAAATATGTTGGAGAATCGTAATTCTTGTGGCTACCTGGGGCCAGAGTCAAGAGAACTGGATGAGTCTATGGCACTAACTCCATTGTTTTCATTGCTCCATCAATGACAGCTTGTGGCCTTAGGCCATCATATGTCCCTAAGGACATTTCTTTATATGAATCTAAATGTAAATGAACATGCCCCAGTGATCTCTACTTATTGCTATGTCCCTACGGTGTTATTTTTATCTCATCTCCAGTCCACTCCTGAACAGTCTTTTGGTTCTTCCAGGTGTAAAATGCTCTGCTTAAAAAAGGAGTCGTGGCAGCTTTATTGTGTACTCCAGTTGATGTGTTTCATTGTTTCTGTTGGTGATGTGATCCAGTTCTAGAAAGAGCACTAAATCAATGATCAAAACTATTATTAAAATAGTTGGTAGATGCATTTTAGCAATAATGATCGCCCCTTGCAATCCTACACACACTTTTCACTTGTTTTCTGGCTGTTTTTGAAACGTCATTCAGTAGTGTAGAAAAGAAGTTAGCCCCATAGGAAAGTTGTGTGATGCCTCAGGTATCCTGTAGCATAATTTTTTTATATGGTAGTTTTGTGATGTAATTTATCTTCTGTATTCCTGTTTCAGTTAAAATTAAATAGACCTATTGTTGAGTTATTTGCAGTGGTGGGATTCAGCCATTTCTCACCAGTTCACAAGAACTGGTAGCTAACTATTGTGCAGTTCGGCAAACTGGCTGAATCTCACCCCATCACTTCCAACCAGTGAATGGCCAAGAGGCCAGTCTGGGTGGAGAATCAGTCCCAAGCTGGCCTTTCTCCTTTCCTTTTCCTGGCCTGACTTAGACCTTGGCCCAAAGCCCCAGCTCTCTTTAACGGAAAGAATGTCGGCGGCAGCATGCTCCATGGAAGGCGCCTGTCACTCCTTTTGGATGCAAAAAGAGCAGCATCCACTAAGGCAGCCACAGCAGTGGGTGAGAAAATGCAGGGATGCTGCCAGGAACGAAGATGCTCAAATTTGCATCTGTCCAGGCAAGCTTTGCTTGGCAACGAGGTTCCACCGGAAAAGAGAAAGAGGGGAGATCTGGTAGGTGATGCCTTTGCTGCCCCAGCCTCCCCAGCACTTTCTGCTACAGCCTTTGCCTGGAACAAAAGGGGAAGGAGCTGTATGGACCTGTAGAGAGGAGAAGGGAGGGGAAGGGCATTCCAGCTATTTGCATCGAGGCTCATTTTCAAAGCATTCGAAGCTTCATCTCTTGGATTCTCAGGCCCTAGTGCTGCAGTGGAAATCAGGCAGGAGAGTGGGAATTCTTCATCCATTCATTCATGCACACAGGGGGTGTGTTCCCACAGTGGATTTAACTAGGGTAGAATAAAGAGCCATCGAGGGAAAGGCTTAGTGCATTCTCTTCCCCTCAACCCCTTGCAAAGGCTTTTAGAACCCCTTTAAACTAAGAGTGATTTTTGAAGGTTGCCGATGCACTTTCCTTACTGTTTTGAACTGTAAGAGGTATGAAAAGTGCAAATGCTAAAATAAGCCTATTGCGATTAACACAACAAAGTGACGAATTATGTGGCAGATTCGTTCATGCAACGTATTTGTTTTGATTAGGCTTTTCTAGGGCATAGGATGCTGTGCAAACCCATTTTGTTGATGTACAGGGTTGATCAGTATATTATGCAAATCCAGAAAACATATTAATACAGAAAGCAGCCTAAATGTGAATCAGGCATAGTGTGTGTGCTGCAAGCACCATTGTTTTAATTGCTATCAAATTCAAATATACTTTTGAGTAAAGCTGGCTGTTGTTTGAGTCAGCAGGTGCAGCCATGTCACTATCAGTCTTCCAAGATGTTTTTCAACTTCAGAGGCTTACCAGCCCCCTGCTTGTCTTTTGATGTCTTCCATCCAAGTATTAACCAGACCTGACCCTGCTTAGCTTGTGCACACAGAGAAAGTCAGCCAAGTAGGGCTACTTTCTCAGACAAAAAGAAGGTTATAAGGAGGAAAACGATGCACAGTGGCAGAAATGCAGTGGAACACAAAAATAATCTGAAACCCACATGCTCTGAGCAGGAATAAATATATAATACACCAACTTTTTATGTGTTTAAATAATATGCAGAAAAATGTAACATGGTAAAAAAATATTTACCATATTATTAGATCCTCTCCTGATTGACCATGTTTTATGGAATCAAATTGAAATACATCATTTTTTATATCAAGTTAATTTATTTTGCATGTCATGTATACCAGACTGTATTCCCCAAATACTTTATATCTTTAAAAAAAACTGTACTTTTTATTCTTATAACATTCCATTCATTTTACTGGATGGACTTTTTAATGCATTGGGTTCAATAATGATTCTAATGGGGTCCTCCCACTATAGGCAGTCTGTTCATTTAGTGACTGTTTGAAGTTACTACACTGAAAAAAATGACTTACGGACATTGCAGCATTCCCATATCATATGATCAAAATTAAGAGGGAGGCCAGGTAAGGGGCAGAGGGGAGGGAACCACCCAGCAAAGAAATACTGAGCGAGGCAAGCCGCCCCTCGATGTGAGTGATGTCAAGTTGGCCACACCCACCCAGTCACATGACCACTCAGCCACGCCTACCCAGCCAGTCATTAGAACAGAGAACTAGTTGTTCAATTATTTGAATCCCACTACTGTTTACTTTGCATCAGTTTTTCTCTTTTTATCAGGAAAAGGCCAAAGCAGAAGGTCTCTGGAACCTTTTCCTGCCAGCTGTTAGTGGTCTTAATCAATTGGACTATGCACTAATAGCAGAAGAGACTGGGAAGTGCTTCTTTGCTCCTGAAGTAATCAATTGTCATGCACCAGGTGAGGGACTATTTAACTGGCTTGTCAGAATTATATTGTATGCTGGATAAAATAGGAAGGGTGTTCAATGTTTCTTCTGTTTTCTAGACACAGGAAATATGGAGGTTCTATACTTGTATGGGACAGAAGAACAGAAGAAACAATGGCTGGAACCTCTTCTGGAAGGAAAAATTAGTTCTTGTTTTTGCATGACAGGTAATGTTTCATATTTTAGACATGAAAACATTCATTTATAGTAGAGAGAAAATTTCATTTTAAAAATTTTGGGTTGAATCCTGCATGTTAGAAATTCTTCAGTTTTACTAAAATTAATGTAAGGGAATTTAGCCAGAACTAATTTGCTCTATAAATATCAGCAACTCTGAATATAGCACTGTATTTCTATAATTTCCAATAGTAAAACAGAATTAACTTCCAACTCTAAAATGCGCTCTCAGCTAATTATTACCATGTATTAGGAGACTGGATAATTCTTTTTTTTTTTACTTCCCTTCATCCCATCTGGTATAGAGATAGTTTTCCAGGTGTAATGCAAAGTACTGGTCACTGCTTAAAAATATTATATAACTTGGGGCCCGAGTATCAATCTTTACGACCATCTTTTCCCAAGTATTCCCACAGATCCTACTCAGGTAACTAGGGAAACTTGTTAAGAGACACTATTTATCAAATGGGATGAAAAGACATTCTCTGTCATAGCTTTGTTCCTGAGGAGTAGCTGTCAGGCTACAGAACTTTTCCCCTTCAATCAACTAGAATGAACTTCTGAAAACATCAAAACGTATCAAAAGGAATCCTTTATTGCGATGAGACAATTCATGTAGGGGTTAAAAGCAGCGTCTAAGGTTTCTCAGGCATGCAGAGATAGATAAGGGAGTCTAAAACTCCTCCCCTTATTTTGATGTGTATTTAGTAAAACAAAGAGCCAACATGTTAATTCCCCCAACCCCCTTTTTAGAATGATCTTTTTCAGAGTTTCCCAGAACACATCTCACTGTGGAATTTTTTTTTTTTTTGAAAACAATTTTATTGGTTTTTTAACAAACAAACAAAACAGACAAAACATAAAAGCATCAGCTCTCTTCCGTACTATACAAACAGTGTGTCGGTTGGTTCATCAATTTTGTGCATTCATTTCGTAGTCTCAATTACCGTTATGTTACATAATAACTCTTATCAATCCAAACTTATATATCCTCATATCATTATTAAAGAAAATCATTTGACTATACTTTTATTCATTCATACTTTATGAGATAACTATAATTTAAGTAATTTATTCTATAACAGATCATATAATCATACCAATTCTATCCTAAAAAAACACTTTATAGATGTGGTGTCAAACAACAAAAGAAAAAGAAAAAACAAAGATATTCCTTATTATCTAACATTCTAAATATTCTATTATTGTATTTCATCGTCCAACCATTGATAGAAAAGGTCCCAAATTTTATAAAATTGTTTATCTTCTTGCTCTCTAATTTCAAATGTCAATCTACTCATCTCAGCACATTCCAATATTTTCTTAATAATTTCTTCCTGCAATGGAATTTTCTCATTTTTCCAATTTTTAGCAAATACAATCCTAGCCGCAGTTAATACATTTACAATCAGATATTTCAAGTCTTTACTGTATACATCTGGTACGATTCCCAATAAAAAGAACTCCGGTTTCAAATCTATGTGTTTCTTTGTCATTTTTTCCAACCACATGCGGATTTTAGTCCAGTATTTTCTAGCATCCTCACAAGTCCACCACATAATGGTAGTATGAGCCAGGTATCTGATGACATTTCCAGCATTTTTCAGATTTATTCTTGAACATTCTTGCTATCCTTGTCGGGGGGAAATGCCACCTGTAAAACATCTTATACAGATTTTCTTTATAAGCTGTAGACATAGTCATTTTATAATTTTGCAACCATAGTTTCTGCCATTTCTCTAAATCAATCCCATATCCAAAATTCCTCCCCCAAGCAATCATAGTTTCTTTAACTTGTTCATCCTCTAGCTTAATTCCCAATAAATAACCATATAGTTTTTTAATCACCTTTTCATCAGTACCTGTCAAGATCTTATCTAAATCAGTCTGTTTATCATAAAATCCCTCTGTTTTGGAATCTTCATCATACCTTGAGTGTATTTGCACATATGAAAACCAATTCATCTTTATACCTTGTTCCTCTAAATTTTGTATCGATTTAAGTTCACCCTTTTCATCTAATAATTCCCCATATCTAACTATTTGTTACTTCTTATAGATTATAGGATAAGAAAATGCTTCTATCGTCGATAACCAAACTGGAATTTTCAGATAACATTGTTTTTTTATCTTCTCCCAGTTTAACCACAAAGACTCCCGTATATAATGTCTTCGAAAGTAACCCTGTGTTTTGGTTCCCTTATACCATAAAAAAGCATGCCAACCCAACAACAAATCATGACCTTCTAGTGTCAACAATCTAGTCTTTCTTAATGTTATCCATTCCTTAACCCACATCAAATTTGCAGCTTGGTAGTACAGCTCCCAATTAGGCAGGCCAAAACCTCCTCTAGTTCTAGCATCTTGCAAAAGCTTTAGCTTTATCCTCGCTTTCTTACCTTGCCATATATACTTCAACACAATTTTATGAAAGGTTTAGGATCGCAGCGTTTTTTGTCTGCTTGAGCTTTAAAAACTGCTCTAGCTTCCTGTAAAGATGATCTTACCATTGGCCACATGGCTTGTAAGTTATTGATCCACTCCTTAAGGGAGGGGATTTCAGGTTCTTTGGTGGGTAGTTGCGGCATGGGGTTGAATTCTTGGTCCGTGGCTACCTGGAATGGAGTGAACCCCGTGCTGCTCCAATTGTCCTGTTGGTAATTAATAAAGCATCTTCAATATTGTTCTAATACACTATTGATCCATCCATCTGGGGGTGACTTGATGACAACAACCCCTGGGTGGAGCCTTATATGTTTAAAAACGCCCGCCAAAATTTGGATGTGAATTGAACACCCCTATCTGAGATAATCCGTTGGGGAGCTCCATGAAGGCGATAAATGTGTATTAGAAACATCTTTGCTAATGCCTTGGCAGTTGAGATCTTTTGGCATGGAATAAAGTGAACCTGTTTGGAAAAAAGATCAGTTGCAGCCGAAATGACAGTATTTCCAGCACTTTTGGGAAGCTCCACTATAAAGTCAATAGAGATCTCTTTCCAGGGTACAGAAGGGTCTGCTACTGTCTGTAAAAGTCCAGGATATTTTCCTTGTCTTCTGGTTGCAGCAGCACAGGTGGGGCAGCTCGCAACATAGTTTTTAATGTCCTTTTTGAGAGACGGCCACCAAAATTGTCTTTTGATGAGGTGCAAAGTTTTTACATTCTCTGGATTGCAGGGACATAGTTTGTTTTCTACCCAGGCTAGTCCAACTTTGAGTAAGCAAGTGTTTTTGTTAGCCTGGAGCCAGTCATCCTTAAGTAGTGCCTCCTTAAATATTGACATCGTTGTCTTCAGTCAGTGAAGATTTTTTTTTCTCTTGTGCCCGGGTGATTACTTTGCTGCTAGTTGGATCGGTTGGATCATTGGTTTTATAACCTCAATCTTTCTGCTGTTGTATTGGGGTTTTCTGGACAGTGCATCTGCTAAGAAGTTCTTTCTCCCAGGAAAATATTTGAGAGTGAAATTAAACTGTTTAAAATATTGAGCACACCTTGCTTGTTTTTCGGAGAGTTTCCGTGGATTTCTCAGGGTTTTCAGATTTTTGTGATCAGTCCATACTTCAAAGGGGATTTGGTTTCCTTCCAGGAAATGTCTCCATGTGAGCATTGCCCACCGCACAGCATATGCCTCTTTCTCCCATATGGACCACCTTTGCTCGGTTTCTGTCAGTTTCTTGGATGTATAAGCGCAATGGTTGTAATTGTCCACTTCCATTGTTTTGGAGGAGGACTGCTCCAACTGCAACATCACTAGCGTCTGCTTCGATGACAAAAGGTTGTTCAGGATCTGGGTGCTTAAGGACCAGTTCTGCTGAGATTAGACGTTTGAGTTTTTCGAATGCCACTTGGCATTCCATTGTCCAGATAAGGGGTTGCCTTGGTTTGGGTTTCTCCCCCCCCCCTTTCGTTTTTAGCAAGTTCATCATAAGGAGGGTGATGTTTGTAAAAGCTGGAATTGAACTGGCGATAAAAGTTTGCAAACCCCAAGAAGCTTTGCAGTTGCTTGCATGTATAAAGTGTGTCCCAGTCCATGACAGCTTTTACTTTTTGTGGGTCCATCTCTATTCCCTTGTGGGATATTCTATACCCCAAGTAGTCAATTTTTTCTTGGTGAAATTCACATTTAGAGAGTTTTGCATATAGTTTAGTATCTAAGAGTTTTGTGAGGACTGCACGGTGTAGCTTAATGTGTTCTTCCATACTTTCCATGTAGATTAAAATATCAAGATAAGCTAGAACCCCTGTCGGGCTTCAAAAAGTCTATTGGTTTATCTCCTGGAGTGAATCCCGACACATTATCTTGGTTGGGGAATGAACGTCCGATCTTGCCATTTACAATATATTAACTTGATCAGAAAACGTCTCCTACTTTTGAAGATCCCATCCCGGTTTGACCTATCTCATATCAGCACGAGCATGCGATAAGGATGGGGTTGGAGAAGGTTTATCACTCCAACTCCTCTCCAACTTCATTTCTCCAAAATGAAACACAAACAATCATTGGGGAAGTTACGGCACAACTCGGGAATTGAAATCACATTCTGTTTGGTAATTAGTTGCGTTTAGAATTGCGGGGTGGAGGTGTGTAGGACTAATGGGGAGGGTAGATGTTAGTTAGCTGCATAGGGTGGGGCTGCATGATAAATTGTGCTGAGTGACGAATGATCTCAGCGCTGACTTTATCCAGTATATCCGTTGTTGCCGTGTTTGAAGGAGAACGAGCGAAAATAAACATATCTATTCACAACAAATCCTGTGAGTAATATAGTTTATTGCTAGAATTCCTACGTGTACAAACGAGGGCTAAGAGAAAGTCAGCGCTCACCTTTATTCTCAAACAAACAAACCTACTTCACTGTGGATAATGGCAGAAGGCATAGATCCCGAATGGATGGTGGAAGAAAGTGTAGAAGTGGCTGAAGAGAATGGTGGAGAGGGCAATGGAAAACGGACAGGGGAAATGGAGAGAGAGGACGTGCCATTGACAGTA